CTGAAGTCCGCATAATCTTCAGGACGAGCAGGCCATGGTTTTCCAGAGGGAATTTGTTGTTGAGGAGGTCCTCCGCCAGTTAAGCCTGCAAAAGGTGGCCTACCAGATGCAGAAGGCAATTTCGGGGAACCACTTAGACCCATAACAGCATTGGCCATTGAATTAGAAAATTTATCCTTGTTCGTTGTCTCTTTGAATCTGTCAATCAACTGAGGCTTTTGAGAAGTTATACTGAAGTCCGCATAATCTTCGGGACGAGCAGGCCATGGTTTTCCTGAAGGAATTAGTTGTTGAGGAGGTCCTCCACCAGTTAGGCCTGCAAAAGGAGGCCTATCAGATGCAGAAGGCAATTTCGGGGGACCACTTAGACCCATAACATCATTGGCGGTTGAATTAGAAGATTTATCCTTGTTCGTTGTCTCTTTCAATCTGTCAATCAACTGAGGCTTTTGAGAAGTTATACTGAAGTCCGCATAATCTTCAGGACGAGCAGGCCATGGTTTTCCAGAGGGAATTTGTTGTTGAGGAGGTCCTCCGCCAGTTAGGCCTGCAAAAGGTGGCCTACCAGATGCAGAAGGCAATTTCGGGGGACCACTTAGACCCATAACATCATTGGAGGTTGAATTAGAAGATTTATCCTTGTTCGTTGTCTCTTTGAATCTGTCAACCAACTGTGGCTTTTGAGAAGTTATACTGAAGTCCGCATAATCTTCAGGACGAGCAGGCCATGGTTTTCCAGAGGGAATTAGTTGTTGGGGAGGTCCTCCGCCAGTTAGGCCTGCAAAAGGAGGCCTACCAGATGCAGAAGGCAATTTCGAGGAACCACTAGAACCCATAACATCATTGGCGGTTGAATTAGAAGATTTATCCTTGTTCGTTGTCTCTTTGAATCTGTCAACCAACTGTGGCTTTTGAGAAGTTATACTGAAGTCCGCATAATCTTCAGGACGAGCAGGCCATGGTTTTCCTGAAGGAATTAGTTGTTGAGGAGGTCCTCCGCCAGTTAGGCCTGCAAAAGGTGGCCTACCAGATGCAGGCGGCAATTTCGGGGAACCGGTGGAACCTATAACATTGTTATTCGTGGTTTCTTTGAATCTGTCAACCAACAGAGGCTTTTGAGAAGTTATACTAAAGTCCGCATATTTGTGCATTATTTGTGTTGGTATTCCCCCTTCGCTTCGACCTGCAAAAGATGGTTTTACTGTATTATTGGTTTCAAGTTCTCTTGATATTATTTCGTGATATTACCTTCTTTCTGATGATTGGTATTAGTAGTTCTTGAATCTTGCAGTGGAGTTATTTGTACCGTGAAACCTCCCTCTATTTGACTCAAGGAATGTGAACTACTCAATGGTGACAATTTGAAAGGCTCGTGGATATGAAGGAGTTTTGGGAGTTTTGAATTATCTTTTTCCTTTGACGGTTTTACATATTTTTCTTTGAATTTATTTATGAATTGCTCTTCAAATTCGTTCGGTATTGGATTCTGGTGTTCTTTCTCAATCTCACTAACTTGTTTGTTGAACATGTCTACCAATTGCTGCATTGAAGTTTCAACACTTTTTTCCCAATTGGGGTAGTTTTCAAATAATCCAAACTCATCTGTTAGATTACTTTGTGTTGTCAATTCTGTGGTTGTACCAGATCCTTCATTTTCTTCGTCTTCTTCTGATATTATCGATAATAAATCAGTTAACTGTGATATTGGATTAGGTAAATTATTTTCCATAGTTTGATCCGCAGAGGACAGCTTTATTTGTGAGGACAGTACTGAGGGTCTACCACACACAGTGTCATCAGGTAACGATTTAGTGTCACCTGCCTGCAGTATAGTCCCGAATATGTCTTTGAATGTATCAATAAATTTATGTATGAATGGAGTAGAATCATCTTCCTTGGGACTTTCTGGTTCAGCAGGATCTGTGATACATGATTTATTTGGTATTGGCAGATCGGAAAGCTCACTGACTTCTGAATTATAGTCTTCTTGTGCCAATTTCGCTGTTGTTCCTTCGAATGTACTGTTTGACTGAGGTATCAAAGTTGTGGACTGTTTATTTGGCACTTGGACTTCTGTGGGTCTGTCAGATCCTATTGGATTCTCATCTTCTTGAGGCAGATGTTCCTCAAAAACGTTGATTGAACGAGACTTTCCACTAAATTTTTCGTAATTTTCGGTTTCAGTAGTCCTAATAGTTTGTTTTGGAGTTCCTCCAGTTGAATGAGAAGTAGACGAAAATTCCCTTGCGAATGGTAAATGTGGAGGAATTACTTTTTCCTCAGGAATTTTGTTAAAGTTCAACTCGTTATATTTTAAAGTTGTTTTTTTCTTCAATATGTCAGGTAGTTGATTATTAGGTGGAGAAATATCAGCAGCGATTTTTTCTCTCCTCAATATATCATTGAATATGGAATGATCTCCTGCTTTAAAAAATTTGGGTAGTGATATCAACGATCCATATCACAGAACACAG